GTGGGCCGCTCCCCGCGTGGGGCCACTGCCCCCGGCCCCCGCCATGGTGCGGATTTCAAAGCCCAAGACGTTTCAGGCCTACCTGGATGATTGTCACCGGAGGTATAGCTGTGCCCACTGCCGCGCTCACCTGGCCAACCACGACGACCTCATCTCCAAGGTAACCAGGTCACAGCTGGGGCTGGAATGGGAGACTAGAGGGACTGCCTGGCAGCTCCCCACCAGTAGCCCTGACACCTTCCTCTCTCCCTCCCACCCTTTAGTCCTTCCAGGGCAGTCAGGGGCGCGCCTACCTCTTCAACTCTGTGTGAGTATCCACTCTCCCATCTCCCTTTCTCTGACCTCTGTTGTGACTTGTGACCCCTGCCATCATACTGAGACTCTCAAAGAGTCTCCTGGTTTGGGTAGGAAGCTGTGCTCCCCCTTCTCTTGAATGCTAAGGACAGATACAGTTGGATCCAAGCTAGAGGGAGACTTTGTGATGGAGGGACCCTCCCTGGGACTGCTCCCATGTCCCCACAGGGTGAACGTGGGCTGCGGGCCAGCCGAGGAGCGGGTGCTGCTGACAGGCCTCCATGCTGTCGCTGACATCCATTGTGAAAACTGCAAGACCACTTTGGGCTGGAAATATGTGAGTCAGTGACCTCTGACCTCAGGCTAGTCTTTGACCTGACCTCACATCACCTCCTCCTCACAAGCAGTCATCTGGTAATCTTTCAGGGTGTACAGGCCCAAGTCATCCAAATCAAATTTATCTTTTCATCCCTTGACCATGGTCTCTTCTCTCACATCCTACAAGGGCTTTTACGGTTTTTCTCTTAACTCATCCTTCTCCTCGCAGGCACAAGCATTCCCATTTTTGAGATGAGGATATAATCAGAATGACTGTTTATTGAATACTTATGTGCCAGACACTGTTATGTGCTTGGCATATTTTATCTCATTCACTCATTACAGCAATCCTGTAGGTAGTCTGTTATTATCTCCACTTTACAGAAGAAGAAAGGAAGGCCCAGAGATGTTAGGTAACTTCCCCAAGGTCACACAGCTGGTAAGTAACAGAACAGGGACCAGAATCCTCATTTTCTGTCTCTCTCTTTTTTTTAACTCCAAACCCTTGACCCCCAGCTTCCTATTGCCATTCAGAGGATCAGAGAAGTTGCCCAAGACCCTACAACGACATAGAGTTTGGGTTCATGAGCCTCCTTTTTCACTGCCCTCATTGCCACTGCTGTTGTTCGGGGTCTGATTTCACTATCCTCTCATTTCCTTATCGGTAGTAGAGGATAAAGGGACCCCCTGGCACCCAAGGTTGTTATGGGGATCAGATTAGATGCAGGAAAAGGAGATGCTCTTGGGAAATTGCAAGAGACAGGAATCCTCGGGCATCTCTTGTAGCTGTAGTGCCTCTGGGAGGTGAATGCCCCAGGCAGAGACAGAACCTTGCCCTGAGTTAGTCCCTGGCCCTGCCACAGATTTGCTCTGTGTTCCTGGACAGGTGGTTTGCCCCCTCTGGACCTCTATTAAATAAAGAAGTGGCCTAATCCAGAGGTCAAAAAATTCAAGTGCTTGCAGGGCCAAGCAGATTCTGTGGATCTGCAAAAGGGGCAATGTAGATCTCCAGAGGGGGACATTCTGGCCAAATGGAATGAGCACGGCCTTCCCCGTGTTTTAGTATTTGAAAGTTATTTTTATTAAATTCTCTGTTGGTTGAACAAAACATATGCATAGGCCAAAACTGGTCCTGAGGCTACCAGTTTGTATTCCCTGGAACTTTGGAGAAGCTTTCATATCCTCTCTATTGGAGCCAACATTAGCATTAATACTTGAAAAATACCTGTCACTCAGAGAGTTCTGTCTATCCCCTATTAGATACCTGGCCCTGCCATTTATCAGCTCTGTGTCTGTGGGCAGGTGGCTTGGTTTCTTGGGTGATAGTTTCCTCATATGTAAAATGGGGCCCATCATATCCACTCCCCAACCCCTACCCTTTTGGTTAGGCCCTGCCCTACCTCCAAGCATAACAGCCTCTTCCCTCCTTTCAGGAACAGGCCTTCGAGAGCAGCCAGAAGTACAAAGAGGGGAAGTACATCATTGAACTCAACCACATGATCAAAGACAACGGCTGGGACTGACCCCTGCTCCTGACGCATGTGGCGCCAGCCCGGCCTGGCCGCCAGGGGGCGCCACTGGCTTCCCTTCACCCGAACGGAGCTCTGGACCCTCAGGCCCCCTACAGAGGAAGGATCCAGCTCCTGTATATATATTTTATTGCATGCACTGTGACTTTGGGGGGAGATCGGAAGGTGGACAAAGTGGACGACACCCCCGCACCTCCCTGCGATCTGGCTGGCTTGGATCTCGTTTTTAAACCCCTTCCCACCCCGCCTGCCCTCTAGATATGGCCTGTGTGCTGCTCTCTTGGCCCCAGTGCACCATCTGCCCTGTGACGTTCTCCTCCCACCCCCGGCCCCTCTTACCCCACGCGTGTCTGCTCCCCTTGTTCTGTAGCGTTTGTACATAATAAAACAATGGAGTGGAGACAGCCCCAGGCTCATGTGGAATCCGGGAAGGGGGTACTCAGATGCGGATTCCTGCCTCTATAGACCTGTTCCCCTTTGAGTCCTGGAGGCATGGGGTAGGCACGGCGGTCAAAGCTGGGAGCCTTCGCTCCTGGGACTCAGCTGTCTTCTCTAGCACCCGCGGCGGATCTCGCTGCCGGCAGAGATTCCCGAGCCCTTTCTAGCTCGTTAGGCCTTGACCTCAGCTGATGGGCATCTCCTCAGCCTAAGAGTTTTGACGCCGCCTAGGGGCAGCTCTCCTGGGAGGCAACCGCGCCGCGGGTTTCACCGCCCACCTCGTCTCAACTACAGCTTCCAGCGGCCCCAGCGGCATCCGCCTGTGCCCTTCGCGCCGAACGTCGGCGCTCGGCTTGCTGGGAAGTGTAGTTCCGAGGGTTCCCCAACGCGGGACCTTCTGGGAAACTCGGGAGTCCGCTGTCAGAGACCGTCGAGCTGTGAGCGTCTCTAAACTTTTGAGACTTGGCCGAGGCTGGAGGTTTTAGAGAATGGGAGCCAGGAAGGACTCCAGCCTTCAGGCCTCGGCTGCGGACTCCTCGGGGTCTCCATTGCCCCGCGTAACAATAAGCTCAGGCCGCGTGCCTCCAGCCCTGCTCCTTCCCTCCTGTCATGCTTCCTCCCTCCAAGTCTCGTCCTCCAAGTAAAGGTGGGGTGGGGGGGTCACCTGCCAGAGAAGTTTGGAGCGCCAAGGTCTGCCCCAGGACTCCAGGCTCCATCCCAGGGTCCAGGCCCCGCCCCTCAGTAGCTTATCCCTAGCTGGGGCTCCCCCCGTGGGAACGGGGACCAGCTGGCCGGAAGCGCCAAACTGCGTCCCTGTCGAGCCCCGGGGATCAATCAGGCCGAGGAGTTAATTATGTAATGAGGGGGCAGGGGGTCGGGGCTAATGAAGCCTGGGGGTCTCAAGACAACGCCTTCCTGTCCTGGGCTCACACTTATGCCCCATTCCACAACTGTTTTAATTTCTGTGTCTGTGGAGTGCTGCCATCTTCAGCAATGGAAGGCTTCCCATGGTGGGCATCTCCAGTTCAGGGAAAGGACTTTCTCCAAGTCTGAGCTTACCTTTGACAACAACAATCATATGTGATGCCTCTTCTTAATCTGATGACATCTAACAATTCTAAAATGGACTGGTACAACATTTTGTACCTTAACTATGGACATAATGTGATTTTTAACTTTGATTGTACATTGTCTTGGTTTAATGACTATTTTGCTGCACATGGAAGGTAAATGGGTCTAGATTTGGTGGCTTTTTACCTGACATTTATGAAATATGGAATGAGGTTATACAGCTAAATCTTGAAAAGGGACACCTAATAATCTAACACCCCCATATGCTGGGATCAAATAGAGCCATCCCCAGAAGCTGACCAACAACTTAATTATAATGATTGGAAACATATGGGATTTTTGCCTCAGGAAATATACAATGTAACCATTCCCGTGTTGTCCAATCCAGTTCAGGTCCTCCTTTTTCCTGGCCAGGCACTGATTGGGACTGGACACCTCAGTCTCACTGGCTTGCTCCAAACGGGATCTACTAGATATGTGGCTCTTACCTATGGGTGTGGCTTGTCACTGACTGGATGGGGAGACGCACCCCAGGTCTAACTTTTACTCATGGCTTCATATTTTCAGAGCTTCTAGAAAAGCCTGCTAATTTTCCACACCTTAGAATTCATTGGACCAGGTCTGTATTTCAAAGGTATGATTATTTGACTGCAATATTTTTTCCCTCTCCAGGAACTACAGACGTTATGCTAAGAGTTGATGCTCTGACTAACTTTACTCAACAGGCTTTAGAAGAGTCTGAAAAAATCATTTCAGCTCTTAATGCTGAACAAATACAAATTAGATAGGTGGTTTTACAAAAGAGATTGGCCTTAGATAGTCTAACAGCAGCACAAGAAGGAACTAGTGCCATTAGTCATACCCAGTGCTGTACATATACCAGATAAAAGCTTTGGTGTTACTCACCTTACTAACATGAACAAGATGATTCAGGCTATGGATACTCCTTAAACGTCAACTGCCACACTTTGGAAGATATTAACCAGTTCCTTGTGGTGGAAAACTATCCTAATTGCAGTAATTCTGATTGCTCTGTTTTTGCTGTTTGCTCCCTGCATCTGTAACTGTGTAACTGGATTTGTTTCTAACTGCATGAAGGCTTTTAAGTTACAAATGGTTGCTCAAACCCCTGCAACTGTGACGGCTTCCTCCAACTTCTACTTGGGACTCCTGGATCAGAGACCCTCAATATGAGGGTTAATAGAATATGTTGCCTTACCAATTTAGGGATGACACCGCTTATCAGCTCAGAAGCAGTTATGGAACAAGAACGATGCCCCTTTCCCTAGGCAACATAATTCTCCTCAGAGAGGGGGGGGGGGGGGAGGGGAGGAGGGGAGGGTACCCAGGTATCCGGCCCCCTCTTGGACCCCTTCCAGGCCCCAGGGGTCTCCACCCCAGCCTAACTCCAGGGCCCCAAAGAGGGGAGGGGCTGTGATCCTGGGTCTGGAAGGGGCTGAGCTGTGAGCTATAAAGGGGGCATCTCTCAGCACTGGGGCACTGTAGGCAGCGTGTCCCGAGGCCAGACAGGACTACTCCATGTACCACCCACGAGAGTTGTACCCCTCCCTGGGGACTGGCTACCGCCTTGGACCCCCCCAGCCTGGGGCAGATTCCAGCTTCCCGCCTGCCCTGGCAGAGGGCTACCGCTACCCTGGTGAGCAGAGAGAACTGAGCTCAGTGTAGGAATTGGGGTGGGGGCTGTGGCCCTCAGCTGGCCCCTCATTCTCCTCCCATCTCCAGATCTGGACACTCCCAAACTGGATTGCTTCCTCTCTGGGATTGAGGCTGCTCCCAGAACTCTGGCTGCTCCCCCACCTCTACCCCCGCTGCCCCCAGCCCTGGGCACTGAGCCCCCACCCCCTTCAGCCCCAGAGGGCCTTCATTCACTCCCTGGAGTCAGCCTGAGCCTGGAGAACCGGGAGCTGTGGAAAGAGTTCAACTCCGTGGGAACAGAGATGATCATCACCAAAGCTGGGAGGTGAGGGGGCTGGGCCAGGGTCAGAGAACCCAGTGTGTTCCTGGTGCGGGAAGGGCAGAGTTCCTGGTGATGGGGCTGGTGTGAGGATTTCTAAGGGGGCTAGAGCTCTGCCTGAGTTCAGAGTGTGACTGTGGCCTGGGTCAGGGGTCATTCTGTGGCAAGGGTCAAGGGTCAGTCTGTGGAGTCTGGCTGGTTTAGGGACTAATCTATGGCAAGTGTCCTGGATCTTTCTGGGCTAGGGACAGAAAGTCTGACTGGGCTATAAGTTAGTATGTGGCCTAGATGAGGGGTCAGTCTGCACCTAGATTCAGGATTCAGACTATAACGGGGGTCAAGGGTCAGCCACTGACCAGCATCAGGGAAGTCTGGCCAGGATCAGGGGTCAGTATGTGACTAGTTCTGGGGTCACCTTGGAGGCAGGGATATGGTCAGTATGGTCAGTGGGTCTTTCTCTAGCCTCAGGGCTCAGGCACTAGCACGCAAGTCCTCTTTTTATTTTCTTTGAAGCAAGTTTGTCCAGCAGCTGTAGATTCTGGTGCTGAAGATGAAGCAAGAGCAGGGTAGGGAGCAGAAGGCTCCTGGCAAGATTTCTAGGGGAGAAGTGTGTCACTCCTGCTTCTGCAAGTGGAGTTTGAGGGGTTAGGGCTCCAGACTCTGCTCCTACCCTGCTGTGTGACTCTGGTCACATCACCTGACCTGTCTGTCCTGTTCTCATCTGTAAAATGGGATGAGACAGGTTTACAGCTAAGATCCTGCCTTCTGAGTTCTGATTCCACATTCCTCAAGTCTCTGACTGGATGAGCCAGTGGCTATGCTGCCTCGCTGCTGCTGTGCTCACCCCCGACTAGTGGGTAGCTCCAGGACGCTCTGGTCCCTTCCCCCATCCAGGCGCATGTTCCCTGCTTGCCGAGTATCAGTAACTGGCCTGGACCCCGAGGCCCGCTACCTGTTTCTTCTGGACGTGGTTCCGGTGGATGGGGCTCGCTACCGCTGGCAGGGCCGGCGCTGGGAGCCCAGCGGCAAGGCAGAGCCCCGCCTGCCTGACCGTGTTTACATTCACCCGGACTCCCCTGCCACCGGAGCCCACTGGATGCGGCAGCCTGTGTCTTTCCACCGAGTCAAGCTCACCAACAGCACGTTGGACCCCCATGGCCACGTGAGGCCCAGACTGGGATCCCCCGATGCGGGTTGGGCTGGGACCGGGGTAGGGAGTCACTCCTCTTTCTTCCCTCCCAGCTGATCTTGCACTCCATGCATAAGTATCAGCCCCGCATACACCTGGTGCGGGCCGCCCAGCTCTGCAGCCAGCACTGGGGGGGCGTTGCCTCCTTCCGCTTCCCGGAGACCACGTTCATCTCCGTGACAGCCTACCAGAACCCACGGGTGAGTGATCCTGCTGGAGCGGGTGGCATCGCCCTGCTCTGGCTGCAGGAGTCTTGACTCTGGGTGTGCGGCATCCCCTCCCCCGCCCACCCAGATCACGCAACTGAAGATTGCAGCCAACCCCTTTGCCAAGGGCTTCCGGGAGAACGGCCGAAACTGTAAGAGGTGGGCATCATTCAGTCATTCAGTCACTGTCATCAAATGTTTACTGATTGTGTACCGGGCACTGTACTGGACTCCTGGAACCCAATGTAAGTAAACCCCTGTTGTCACTCACTGATCTGACAAATACTTATTTAGCGCCTGTTTATGTGCTGGGCACAGTTCTAGGGAGTGAAGATGCAGCAGTGAACAGAACAAACCAAAGCCTCTGCCCTCGTGGAACTGATACTCTAGTGGGCAGAACAGACAAGTAAACAAGAGAAATAAATATGTTAGGGATAAGCTCTATAGAGAGAAGAAAGCAAGGAAGATCAGGACTGGAGAGGTGAATCCTGGCAAGGCCTCACTAAGAGGACGTTTGAGAAGACTTGGAGGAAGCACGAAAGGGAACCATGTGAATATCTGGGAACATGCCAGGGGCCTGAGGTAGGAGCATACTACAGTATGGCTGGTGTGGAGTGAGAGGGGTAATAGGGAGCCAGATTATGGTGGGCTGTAAAGGTTTGGTTAGGTCATTAGCTTCTTCTAACTAACCCTACCCCCTCAGAGCTGGCCCTTGCCCTCAAGACACTTAAAATCAGCCAGAAGAGATAGATATTAACTCAAGGATCACCCTGATGAATATAACAGTATCACTCTTGACAAGTTATCAGGGTAGCTCGGTGGAAAGAACCTGCCTGCTAATGCAGGAGACGTGAATTTGATCCCTGGATTGGGAAGATTCCCCTGGAGAAGGACATGGCAACACACTTCAGTATTCTTGCCTGGGCAATCCCATGGACAGAGGAGCCTGGCGGGCTACAGTCCATGGGGTCGCAAGAGTCCAACACGACTTAGTAACTAAACAGCTGCTGTTTTCTAATCATTTAATTCTCTGGCCTTCCATTCCTTCTTCTGTAAAATGGGTATAATAATGGCACCTACCTGATAGGGTCCCTGGGTGAAGTGCCTGGCACCTGGTAAGTGCCATTATTACCATAATCATCACCATTATCATCATCACCATCATCATCACTGTCCCCCAGGGAGCGAGACGCCCGTGTGAAGAGGAAACTGCGGGGCCCAGAGCCAGCAGCCACAGCGGCCTATGGGAGTGGAGGTGAGTGTTGTTCCAGAGGTGATGGGACCAGGCCCGAGATGCCGATCCTCCTTAACCCACTCTGGCCCTTCTGTCTCCCCAGATGCTCCAGGTGGTCCCTGTGATTCCACACTGGGTGGGGATGTTCGGGAATCAGATCCCGAGCAGGCCCCAGTACCTGGGGAAGCTGCCCGTGCCCCAGCTCCTCCCTGCGGTGGCCCCAGTGCTGAGGCCTACCTGCTGCACCCTGCCGCTTTCCACGGGGCCCCCAGTCACCTTCCAACCAGGTGAGTGGGTCAAGGGCACAGGGCTGGGCTATTCCAGGCTGGGCCCGGGGGTGGGGAGTCCCCTCTCCCCTGTTCTGATACCTCTCCGCTCTTCAGGAATCCCAGCTTCCCGGAGGCTCCAGACTCTGGGCGCCCAGCCCCCTATTCAGCCGCCTTCCTGGAGCTGCAGCCTGGACCAGCAGGCTCAGGATATCCAGCAGCAGCACCCCCAGCATCCTTTGCCTCGCACTTCCTCCAAGGGGGCCCCTTCCCCCTGCCCTACCCTGGGCCTGGGCCTTACCTGGATGTGGGCTCCAAACCAATGTACTGAGCCTTTGCTAAGCCCCCTGCCTCCCTCCCCATCTTCCAGTTCCCTTCCCCCAGGTCTGTTGCCCCCTCACTTCCACTACCCCCTCCCCCACACCAAATGGCTGCCTTGGGCCTCCCCCACCCCACTTCACACTTTGATTTCGCTCCCACCCCCCTCTGGCTTCAAAGCTCTGGCTAAGCTGCTGGGAGTCCAGCTGGGGCCAGCTTCCCCTTCCAGGCTCTCACCTCGGTGTGAATGGAGGGGGCTCTGCCGGCCAAATGGGGCCTGGGACCAGCACTCCCACCCTCACCCTCAGCCTTGGGCTCTGCAAGTCCTACCCCTCCCCAGGGCGAGCCACACGGGTCGGTTCTCAGGTCCAGAGTATTTTTGTTAATAAAACTCGAAAGACATCAGTGCTCTGAGAACACTGGGCTAATGGTCTTTGGCCCTGAGTGGGGCTGGGTGAGCAGAGGTTTTGTGAGGAGATGCAGGCCCCAATTGAGACTTGTCATTTCCAGCTGCTTGACCTTGTGCATCTAAGTCAATGCTTGGGGTCTGCTTCCTCTTCAGGAAGATGGAGGAATCTGTCTTGACATGCCATTCTGAGAATTAAATGGGGCTGCCCGAGAACCCAGCGCTCTCCCTGGCACTCAGGAAGCCCCCAGGAGCAATCACTGTCACTGGATGGGGACCAGGAGTCTCTGGGCAAGCTGACTGGCCTGAGCCTCACCTTGCTGGCAGGATTAGGGTTCTGGGGCATCAAAGTCCTGACATGAATCCCAGGTCCCAGGCTGGTACCACTGCTCATCCCCAGTCAATTCTGACACCAACCCAAAGACCATTTTTCTTTTATTAGAATTTTTTTCTTTTTTTTTTTGTTTTTCTCAAAATTTTTATCTAAAAACAAAAAAAAAAAAAAAAAAAG